TGATGTACAAAAAGATTTGACAAAACTCAATACTCTTTGATGACAAAAACATTCAATAAGCTAGGGATAGAAGGGAGTTTCCTCAACAGGATAAACACCACACGTGAAAAGGCCATAGCTAATACCATATTTGATTATTAATAATGAAAGCTTTTCTTCTAAGATGAGGAACAAGACAAGGATGCCCATTTTCGCCATTTCTATTCAACATACTATTGGGAGTTCTAGCCAGAGCAATTAGGTAAGAAAAAGAAATAAAAGGCAGCTAAATTGAAAAGTATAAGTAAAATTATCTCTGTATGCAGATTACATCACCCTATATGTGGAAAACCTTAAGGAATCCACAAAAGTGTTGTTAGAGCTAATAAATAAATTCAGCTACAAGTGGTGGGAAGGATGTAGAGAAATTGGAACATTTGTGCATTCCTGGTGGGGATGTAAAATGGTGCAGCCACTATGGATATGCGAAGTATATTTCAATAAAGCTCTTTTTTAAAAAGATACAAATGATCAATAAGCACATAAGGTGCTCAATATCACCAGTTATTAAGGAAATGCAAACTGAAACCACAGTGAGAGTTTATACTCACCAGAAAGGCTATAGTCAAAAAACAGATAATGACAAGTGTTGACAAGGATGTAAACAAAATGAAACCCTTATTTGCTATTGGTTGGCATGTAAAATGGTGAAGTCATTTTTGAAAACAGTCAGGCAATTAATTATTAAACCTAGGACTACTCTATGACCCAGCAATTCCACTCCTAGGTATCTGCCCAAGAGAAACAAAACATATGTTCATACAAAGACTTGTGCACAGATATTCACAGCAGCATTATTCCTAATAGCCCCAAACTGGAAACAACTCAAATATATATCCACTGATGAATGAATAAACAAAATGTGGTATATTTATATAGTAGCTTCACTCAGCAGTAAAAAGGAAGGCAGAATTGATACTGTAACATGCATGGACTACAAAACATCATGCTCTGTCAAAGAAGCCACAAGACTGTGTACTATATGGTTCCATTCATATGAAATGTCCAAAAAAGAAATTTACAGAGATAGAAGGCAGATTAGTGTTGCCTGGGGCGGGGAGGTAGGAGGAAAGCTGGGACTGGGGCTGACTAAAAAGAGTTGAGGGAATTTTGAGGGGTGACAGAAAAGTTCTAAAACTGCATTGTGGTATGGTTGCTCAACTTTGTAAATTTACTAAAAACCACCAAATCATGCACCTATAATGGATGAATTATGTGGTATGTACATTGTGCCTCAATACAGCTGTTTGTTTTTTAGGGGCACCACAAATCAGAGGGTTAGGAATGTGGTTTGGAGGCAGGAAGAAAAGTTAAGTGGGGTCCTACCTCACACACATACAAATAAATAACAGACAACACCAATTAACTCTTAGGGAGCCCTCCCTTGTGCCAGGGCCTTCTCAGCACGCAGCTAACGCTTACACTGATTCCTTTATCACCATCCCCCTAGGAGGTAGGAAATGCCATTATTCCAATTTTACATAAGTGGAAACCGAGGACAGAGGATGAAGTAACATGTGCAGGGTCATGGCTGTCAGTGGCAGGAACAGGCTGGACTCGAGGTAGCCCTCACTCGTCATGGGTCGACTCAGGAGGCTCTCTGTGAACATGGGCAGGGACTGATCCTAAATAAGACCCACAGGGCACAAATCACAGGGTGAAAAATGAGAGGACTCTGTCCCACAAAAGATAAAGGATTTGGCTTAACACAAGGCAGTGCTGGAATGAGTAGCAAGCAGTGATGAACAGAGAGAAAAGTGCTATTTGTGACTAAAACCAAGAAAGGCACTGTCCAGAGGACACAGGCGCTCCTGCAAGCCATGGGGATGAAGAGCAGGGGTGGCTGCTGTGAAGGGGGAATCCCTCTTGACTCACCTTGCACTAGGAGGTGAAACCTAACTCAACCAGAGTCCCCCTTCACCCCCCCAGGCAGCACCAGCAACACGTGGGTGGGGCAGGGCAGGCCCAGCCAGGATGGGGCACTGAACTATATGCAGAGCAGAGAGAAAACAAGGCAGTCAGCAGAAGTTAACAAAGCAGAAACTGCGAACCAGAGAGGCTGGGCTGTGTGGGAGGTTTCAACATGGAGGTGGAGATGGAACACACTGAGTACATGCACACACAGACATGGATGCTCCCCAGCTCTGTGCACTGGAGGGGCTGGCAAAGTGACACGCAGCACCCAGACCCCGAGTTTTGAACACACCTAGAAGGAACCAGGGCTCCCTGGAAGAATGGCTGTTCCACAGCTGGAGCATCTCAGGTGCAGGGAAGCAAGATGGGCTCAGAAAACGTGGGGGGTGAGTCACAAGGAACAGAGCCAGCTGGAAGGGGCAATGTGAGCACTAAATTAAGAAGTGATGGTAATGGATTATAGCCCCTTGAGTAAAACAGCCTCTCAGAGGGCGCCCTGATAGAAATATATAAGTGAGTGGACAGACGGGAGAAGGGAGAGCTCTTCATATGAGAGGGCACCAACTCATGAAGGTAGAAGCAACGATGGAATCAGAACTTGGCAGACAAGAGACACCACTGGCTGTTAAGACTAATGGGCGAGGGTGGGATTTTCCAACTCTCTCCCCACAAAATATGTGTCACCTGGCAAGGAGACAAATGGAGAGGCTCAGCTGACATCCCCTTCCATCTGTGATCAGGGCGAGCCCACTGTTAGCGCCTAAGTCAAAGGAGGAAAACAGCACCATGACATTCTGGTCTATCTGCGAGGGCATGTCAACCCTAAAGGGAGAGGCATCCCACAAAATAACCAGTCTGTAGTTCTCCATCTGTCCCAAAGTTCAGGAGGGACGGAGGGGCTGCTCCCAAAGACAGTCGGGCCAGCTGGCCTGGAACCGAGCCCGGAGTCTGGCAGAGGCTGACCTCTGAGCTGCAGGACCTCGAGCAGCCCCATGTGGCACCCCAAAAGGAGGAGGAGTGGAGATTTACTCCCAGTCTAAATTATTCACAAGAAAAGGGAACGCACCTCTTTAACAAGCCATCGCTTTATGAAGCAAGGTTAACAATTTCACTTGATTCAGTGGAATATTATAAACTCTCTGGGGCCCATTTGAGGACTTCTACTTCAGGCGCAAGGTGACGACTCAGCACTTTTTATATTATTTAGAGAATAAAATTAACCCTCACAGGCCCAGTCTGCTGCCTCTCCTCCCGTTGGATCTGGCCGGCTCAGCGCTTTCCCATATATAATTACAAGCTGCTATCCATCATGTGGCGGCACCGCAGCGCGGACACACCGAAAGGCACGCAGTAAGCACTTCCACTAATAGAAGCAGGACTTAAATATCACTTTGATATTTTCATTTAAATTGGAATATTTTATAATAATCGGCCATGGCCTCTGTGGGGGTCCTGCCGCCACCCCACCCCAGGGTCTGAAGCTGTCCTAGCCAAGCCCTGCCTCTCGGGAAGGGCTTCCCTACCAGGTCTCAGGTTGAAGAGCCCTGTCTGGCCCAGCCAGCTCTCAGCCTTGCAGCAGGATTGGGGGGCTCACCTCTGGAAGTGGGTGTCGGTCACACTGGTGGAGTGGACAGGATGAGAGGGAGGACAGATCGGAAGGGCTCAACCCACTGTAGAGGGCAATGCACAAGGAGGGGGCTTTTGGGTCTGCTTCTGGACCCTGAGTTCCACACTGTGAAAACACTGGCGGGGCATCCCACAAAATAACCAGTCTGTAGTTCTCCATCTCTCCAAAGGCCTAAGGGCTTAGGGCCTTTGGGGCTGGGCTGGAAAAGGGTTCTTGGGGGTGACATGTCTACACCCCATGCCTGGTGTTCTTAATTTAATGAGTTTCCCCCTCAGGCTGCAGACCCCTGTGGCAGGGCCATCATTCACAAGATGTGCAGTGGGGCGATAGTAGCCCTTGCTGTAGGCCCCTGGGTTGGTAAGTGGCTCCCTCTTAGGGTGCCAGGGACCAAAGAGACCTCTCCAGGGGTCCCCTGAGCCCAGGACCACACCCTCCCTTGCAGCCTCCTACTGGCCCCTCCCCAGTCTGAGCCAGGAGGCTGCCCAGCCTCAGCCACAGGCCCTAGGCCAGATGCAGGAGCCCTCAAGGTGGGGAGAGCCACAGAGGTGGGAGGCTGGGGGAGAAGATGGCTTATACCTGGGATCCAGCCCGCTGGGGACACACAGAAGAGAGTAACCTCTCCTGCCAGTACCACACCACTGGGGTGTGGGAAGTCCTCGGTGAAGCCAGAGGGGGGTAATTAAGAAGGAGAAGGAGTTCAGTTTGCACAGCTGTCAGTAATTTCCCACAACAGCCTTCACGGCTGGCAGGTGAGCCTGCCCGTGCCTCACAGCAAGACAGGCAGCAATGATGCCACTCAGAGGAGGAGGAAATCAGTCACCTGGCCAGCTGCCGTGGGTGAGCCTTGCAACCCAGTTCCCTCATTCCCTACTCAGCAGTGGGTGCCACCCAATGAGCTCCAGCCTAGCTCACCCCAGCCTCAATGGCTGCTACCACCTTTGCTCTGCCCAGCTCCTCCCTTCCAGGCAAGGTGGGAGTGCCCTGTCTACCACCTACCTAGCTTCTTGGGGAGGTAACTCTACCTGTGGCCCTGCCAGTCCCCCGGCCTCCGATGTCCCCTTCACTCCCACTGGCTCCCTCAGCAACAGTTCTAGAGGCTGGCCAGCCCAGCTACCACACCCTCCACCACACAGGGTTTGCTCCCTACTGTAACCCCTGCTGTCCATGGGGCCCTTGGTCCTCTCAGTCCTCTCGGTCTCACTTTCCCACAGTTTAAACTCCACACTGCCCTGGCACTGTGTGACCCCAGGCAAGTCGCTGGACTTTTCTGAGTCACCTATGAGGTGGACATGATGACCATAACCACCTCAGGGCTGCAGAAGGATCACATCAGCTACCACAGAAATCACTGAGAACATTTAGGGGAAAAACCAAGTCACAGGAAGCTCCTGGCCCACCATGCCCAGCCGTGGCCCCTCACCTTTGCGCCCAGAGGGCAGTAGCCTTTGAGGAAATCGTTGCAGACCTCGGCCTTCCGGGACACATACACATGACTGTAGGGACAATTGCTGTTGTTGCAGATCCCCTTCAGGAAGTAGGAGCACACGGGCATCTGTGGGGAGGGTGGGTGGTGAGTGCCAGCAGACCTACCCCCTGTGCCCACGCTGCCGGGCTTGGCCACCCTCTAGGGCCCACGTCCTACTTTACAAGGAGAATATCAGGACTCAGGCCCTGTCCAAGATCTCACAGACAGGTGCCAGCCACACAAACTATGGCTGGAGACCCTCCCATGGTCCTGTCCAAAAGAAATGGACACATGGTGCCAGCCAGCAGGAGGGTCGGTCACTAAAAGCCTCAAGGCAGGGAGGCTACCTGCACAGAAGTCAGTCCTGCTGCCCTAGGTGACCTGGCACACCTGTCCTTGCTTCATCCAGATAATGACATGGAGTAGCCCTACTGCTGTGGCTCTGGCTCAGAAGTGCTATCTCCCCGAGTCCCTTACCTACTCTGAGCCCGACTGGTATCCAGGCAAGATGGCAACCAGGTTTCCCAACCACTAACCTGTGGCCAGGGCTGCCCTAGAAGCCCTAAAGGTCATGGGGCCAGTGTCTAGGTGGGAGGACTGGCTACAAGCTCGATAGCCAGCAGAGGGCTCTCTAGCCACCTGACCTGTGGGCAATGAACAGGTATGTCCATGGGCTCTGGGTGGGCAGGGGTTGTCTTGGTGCAGGCCTGGTCTGGCACCGGCTGCAGGCTGGCACCAGCTGCAAGCTGGCACTGTGGAGGATGAGGCCCATTGGCAAGAAGGGCCCACGAGAGACCTGCTTTGGGACACAGAGTGGGCAGCCCGAGGCCCACCCTGGCTGGCTTGAGCAGTGGGTCTGGACAAGGCTGTGTGGCACGCCCTCATCCTTCCCAGCAGAGCCACAGCCCTGGTGACTGCTGGCCACAGTTACTGCTTGTTAGCACCATCTGGACTGGAAGAGGAAAGAAATATAACCCTCCTCCCAGCTGAGGGAAACTGAGGCCTGAGAAGCAGGAGATGAAGCTACCCAAAGAAAGAAGTATGGGGGTCTTTGACTTTTCCAGGAGTCATCTCTCCCTCATGTGCACCAGCCAAAAGCTAGTTCCTTCCTGAAATGCCCAGCTGTGTCAAGAATGGAGCAATGTCACTGTCATGCCTCAGCATAGAGCCTACAGAGCCCCCAGGCTGCCTCCTGCAGGCTCCAAGCCTTTCTTCACTTCAACCTGTTCCCCCTTCTAGGACCTCTGCTAAACTCACACCTTCCCTTCTCTGTCCTGTGTCAGGCCAGATGCCCATGACTCTGTTGGTCTGGTTGTCCATCTCACCCCTGACACTGTGCTCTGGCCTGCTGAGGGCTGCTAGGGCCTGGAGAACTTGGTTGGTCCCAGGCAAGCCCAGGGGCTTTAAAAAGTCACTTTTCTGGGGTGATGGAAGGGTGAGAAGAGGAAATTGTCTGAGGCCAATGAGGGAAAGAGAGGTCCAGAGAGCCAGGGCCAGAGCTGAGAGAAGGAGGGAGACGGCAACGAAACAAAGGGTGATTTAACGAGCAAGAGTTTATTTTTAATTGTCTTTTAACTGCTGCCGCAGAGGGGAGAGGGGCTGGGGGCCCGTTTGGGGCTGGTGGTGGGCTGTAGACAATTCCCTTAATGTGGTTTTTGATATAGAGCCCAAATTAGCTCTAATAAAAAGGGATAATAAAGCCAACTCTTACACCAAACAGAGCTCCTCCTGGCTGTCAGAGCGGGGCTGTTATCGAGAGGAAACTGCATTCTCATTTCAATTAACCTTGTTTGCACCCCGCCACGTCCACACAAATAACAATAACATTAATTCAGGGCACTGGTGCGGGGCGTCCACATTAGACAGCTTGGAATGTGCTCCGGCTTTGGAGCTGGGAGCTAATGAACCCGAAACTCGACGTGAATTTCCAAATTGCTCACAACAGAGTTTCGAAGCTCTATTAGGGAGAAAAATGCTGATTCTTTTCAAGTTCCTCAAGGGGAAAAGCTGTTGTAGCAGCAGCGTGCCTCTGCCCAACGCTGCCTCCCTAACCTCGGCTGCAGCCCTCACTCCACATGCCATGGCCCTCTCCCCACCCCAGTGCTATGGCCACACATGGCAGCCAGAGTGGGCGTTCTCAGGGGCCAGCGTGGGCCCTGGACACTGAATGCTGTGTGAGGTCTCCAGCTCCCAGGCTCCAAGTACCCCCAGTCAGCACTGACCCCAGACCCAGAGCTCTCTCAGGCCTCCTGGGCAGGGGACTTGCCGTGGCTCAAAGCAAGAGTCTGTGGAGTTTTGCAGTGGGAGCAACCACCTGAGCCATCATGGCTTCCTCTGTGTAAAGGACTTCCCCTCCCAGCACACTGGTGTCAAGGGTGGAGAGGGCTCTGCTGTGGCATGGCTTTCCTTCTACTCATTCCTCCCATCCTCTGCCCAGGGGAGCCTCCCCACCCAGCCTTGTCACACACAACTCCCCTTGCCAACCTCAGGCCTAAAGAGGCAGGTGAGGCCTCAGCCCAGGACCCATGGGGCACCTGTGAGACTATGTTCCCCAGGACCCCAAAAGGGGAGGTGTTGGGAGGGAACCTAGGGATCCGGCAGAGCTGGGAGCTGCTGGGAGGATGGTGAAGGAAGACCCCTGTGCGTGATGTGTGGGAACCCGCTCAACACTGCTTCTGCTGGGGTAAGAGGCAGCCTCACTGTGGGGATGGAAGTGGAACACCAGATTGTTATGGACATCGGCAGAGGGGTCTGCGTGTCCCAAGTCCAGGGAAAACCATGGGACACTATCTGCCTTGGGCTAGGTAGCCGAAGCACCAGGAATATGTGTCTGGGGAGCAAGGCCTGCCGGATGCACATACTCACCTTCTCCTTAGACACATGGTGAGAGAAGGGGCAGGTCCCATCTGTCTTCTTGCACGTACCCCGGACAAACCTGTGTCACCAGAGAAGAGGGTTTGAGGAGGGGCTAGTGGGGACCAGAGGCAGGAGCCCATGCAGAATCCCCCAAATCCCACACTAGAGGTAAGTGGGCACCTGGTACACACGGCCACCTTCTCGGGGTCATGGATGTAGGGACAGTGCTCGCCACGGTTACACCTGCCGAATCGGTTGTAGTACATGCAATACTCTTTCTTCTTCTCTTTCTTCTGCCGTGCCTGCCGGATGATGGCCAGGCTACGCTGCACAGCCCGACTGTGGACAGGGCAGAGGTTCATGAGTCCAAGGGCGAGCAGAGAGCCCCCCAACTACCCAACCCAAGGAATTACCTGGCCAGGGAACGGCTACAACTGCTGGCAGGGTCCAGCCGGCCTGTGGGGAGAGAGGCCGAGTCACTCCAGGGAACAGCCAGGCCCCCAGTCCCTGTCCACCTCCCCTTTGCCATGGTCTGGGCCTCATACCCTTTTCCCACCAACTCCCTTAGCCAAGGCCCCCTCAAGGTCCCAGCTCAGCTCAGGCATTGCTTCCCCCTCCACTGCCAGAGTCTGCCCCACAAGGTGGGCCAAATGCCCTCCTGGGCCTGGCAGGCCCCTCTGCCAGGTCACAGTGCTGAGGGGGGAGCTTCTGGACTCTGTGTCTGACTCCTTTTGAAAGTGGAGGCTGGGCAGGGCTCCTGTCACTCCCTCAGAGGCAGCGCAGCCAGGAGGCCCCTGCAGAGGGCGCACTGACATGGGTTGATGCAGCCTGCCTGTCCCAGTTGCCTCCTACTGAGCCAGCTCCCCAAGGCCACACTTGGTACTGGCTGAATCTCCCGCTCGCTCGCTGACTTCCTCCTTCCCAGGAGGCCCATCCTCATAGCCAGATGGCTTATGGGGCACGTCCTCAGAAAAAGGCATTGACCGGCCCATGGATATTTCTCCAGGCCCTCTCCGCGGCCCTGATCACTCAGGAGGCCATCATGCAAATGGTGCAGCTGCCAACAGTGCCACCTCCCTCTGCTAGAGCCTAGGCTGGGACCTGTGGGGAGACTTGAAGGGGCCACTTAGAACAAGGTACAAATATGGTCCACGAGCCACATGTGGCCTGGCCTTATGTAAACAAGAATAGTTTTTTACATTTTTAAAGGTTTGTAAAACAAAACAAAAGAAAAAAAGAAAAATATGCAGCAGAGAAGCACGTGGGGGCAAAGTCTGAAATACTGAGGACAGTCTGGGTGGGAGGCATCTGCCTACTGCAGCCTGAGGCTGTCCTAGGAGGAATATGTCTTGCCCTGAGGCCCTGGCTGGCCCTGGCAGATCTACCTGGTGCCCACTGCTTGAAATTTTGGCTGTGCTTCATCAGATGCTCCTCAAAGCCCTAGGCAAGAAGACCACCCCAGCCTTTCCAAGATCACAAGCCATGGCCTCAAGGATGGCCATGGCCAGGTGGGTGAGAACCCTGAATGATGTGGGGCCAAGGAGAAGGAGGCAGTGGTTGGGGATGAAGGTCCGGTCCAATGACACAGCACCTGCCTGCCTTCTACAGACAGAGGTCACCCCCAGGATCACAAGGTGGGTAAGGCAGGGCAAGGCAGGGCAGAGCCTGCTGAGGATGGCTTTCCCAGGTTCCTCAAATACGCACATGACCCTTCCTAGTCCAGATCCGATTTCCTACAGGGCAACTGCTGAAATGGATACATGGTAAGAGGCAGAAGTGACATCACTCAGAAATTCTGGGGACCTGAGGCGGTGACAAAGTCATCTAGGCTTAAAAAGGGATTCCAAACCCACATGGACCCAAATGGCCAGCTCTGGTTCCCACCTCAGGCCGTGATACCCCTCTGAGCACAGGCTCTAGAATAGCCCCCTCCCCATTCTCCCCCGGGGGTAGCCCCAGAGACAGCTGAGTGGCTGCCCAGCCCAATTACTCACTGCTCAGCCCCAAGAGCTCCCTGCACTCCCTGGGCAGGGGTGATGTCAGCCATGCCCTTGTCCCTCAGGGATGCAGGGCTCAATATGAGGCCAACATCTGAGAGGCAGTGCCTGCCCGCTACCTTGAGCTGCGAGGAGGCTGGGACACCGCTCTGCTGGAGCTACACAGGGTCCCTCTGGTCTGTGGTGGCCCCACTCTCAGTCTCTGTCTATCTCAAATTTCAAAAGGGCAGCTCCAGGGCTGAGTGGCAGGACCCCCAGGGGAGAGATGGCCTCTGAGACAGGGTTGGGGTATGAGCAGGAGCTGTAATGGTGCCTTGTGGAGGGTAGCAGCAGTGGAGGGGCTGACGAGCCATGTGGGGGATGTAGGGGGAGACGAAGACAAAGGGAGTGTGATGAGGGTCTCAGTGCAAGGGGGCCAACAAGGGGGGCTCAGAGCAGCCTCTGTTCCCAGGTCAGAGACACCTGTCCTTGGGGCAGCAGTGGAGCCCTGTCTAGGTGGCAGAGATGTACCCTGACACCTGCCAGCCAGCACTGCGAGGGATGCTGCAATGTGATAACCCATCCACAGTGCTGGTTCCCAGGTTCTCACCCAGGCTGCTGGTGACACTGTGGCGCCATCTGCTCCCGGTCAGAGACACGGGTGTCACGTGTCCGCCTGTCAGTCCTGGGGGGGGGTAAGTTTACTCCCCTTTCTACTTTTTGCTCTTTAAAAAATATCAGTGTGGGGCTCACGGTAGGAGTTTTGACAAGAACAGGAGGCACCTTTTCAAATGCTTTGCAGCGTTAAAAAATGCACATAAAGTAGCTGGCTTGAAAAGAGGCAAGGAGCTGTGCTGAGAGGTGCTAAGGAGTCCAACTGAATAACCCTGGGCAACCTCGAGAGCAGAAGGTGCTGAGCATTCTAGAGAACTTTCACTTCCCCAGGACCTTCCCAAAATAGATGCTGGCTCTCTCCAGCCCCCGCCCCCTGCTTGGGGCTCCAGTCCCTGGTCCCTGAGCCTGGTTCCTCCAGGGAGCCTCTGGGGTCAAAGCTCCCTCAGCACCCCCAGCCCTCATTCTGGCCAGAGCCCACTGGATAGCAGCTGCCAGGTCTGAGGGACAGCGTCCAACGCAAGCAAGGGGATGAGCTCAGGCAGTCCCAAGTTCAGCCCTGCTAAGCCAGGCCAGGCCAGTCCTTTCCTAGGAAGTCAGAGGAGGGGCTGCATCAAGCCCTGGTCTGCTCAGAAGAGAGCCCACTGGGGCCTCCAGGGTGCACAGGTCAAGGACACCTGGAACCTATCTACCCTGGGAAGAAGACTGAAGCAGTAGAGGGGTCCCCAGGAAGAGGTGGCACAGAGTAGGGCTCGGTGACCCAGTGGCTCTGGCTCCAGGTGGCACAGCTGGACAGAGCTCCCTCATCTGCCCTTAAGGCAGCCAGGGAAGAGTGAGGAGGTCACAAATGAGAAAAATGAAACCCAGAGATCTGACTTGCCAAGAACACAGGGCAGCTGGTCAGTAGCAGGGAGGAGACCATTGCCACATCTGTTTCACTTAAGCTTGAGGGCTTTGGGGGCTCAGACAAGCCTGGAGCCAGCCCTGTAGCCTAGGGCTGGGGCCAATGGCTCCGGGAGACTGACTCAGGGCTCTTGGTGGTCACAACAGGGTCAGATCCAGCTGAGCACCTTCAGAGCCTGACTGAGCATCCAGGCCCAGGCCAGAGTATGTGGAGAGGAGCCCTGGGTTTGAGCCCTTTGGGTGGGCCTGGGAGGAAGGGGAACCCAGAATGCTTGGAGGGGCCAGGAGGGGCAGCCAGGAGAGGGAGGCAGAACCCATACCCCTTCCTAAAGAGGTCTGCACTTTCTTGTTGAAGTCAAATCTTCGCTGACACTAGAGAGAAAATTTACTTCTTTAATTATTATTCATCTAAATGGGCCAGTCAGCAGCATCCTACAGCTGGGAGCAATTCACCTTCCTCACAGGGAGGTGAGACCATGGGGGGGGGGGGGTGGGAGGTCCCACACAGCTGGAGCTATTCCTGTGCCTGAAGACTCAAGGGTTGGGTGTGGCCTTGCTGGGCTTTGCCTCTGCCCATGTGCTGAGCCCCAGGGCTGTCCCACAGTGGCTACCAAGGATAGTTGGCAGGATGTGGGCAGCTATAGCCCTACTTGGCTGCAGGTTATGGCCTTACCGGGGTGAGGCCAGGGGTGAGGAGGTGCCCTGGGATCCCTAAGTCACCGTGGCTGGCCCCTGGCATCTCTGTGCACTGGGTTTTCCTCACTTGTGTCACTGAAGTTGAACCGAGAGAGGCTCTGGGTTGCTGCCAGGGCAGGGGTGAAACGTGCTCCAGAAGGACTGGGGGGATGAACAGGCTCTCGGCTGGCTCCAGGGCAAGGGAAGGCCTGGGCAGAGACAAGAGCCTGTAGCAAGGGTGGGACGGACTGTTCACAGTGTGGTGACGTCAGGGGCTCTTTGCTCGCCGGGGCTCTGCCATGTGTGTAAATGGGAAGGCAAGTTTCTGCGGAGCTCAGCACTTGGCACCAAGGGGGAGAGAGAACAGCATGGCAGCCTCCCAGGGAGGAGTGTGGCAGCCCCTCCTCTCCCGCCTGCCTGAATCTGGCTGAGGCAGCCTGTTTTATGCTCCTCCATCCCCAGAGTTCAGCGCCAGAGCCATCCCGGTAGGGGGCACTGTGTCTGAGGGGCCAAGTGCAAACCTGCCCCCAACCCACTGGCCTTTACAGTCATTTCTTTTGGACACTGAGAGACAAGGGGAGCTGGGTGGTGGGTGCAGCCCCACACCACAGGCCCACTGAGCCCAGTGTTTATGGGCAGAAGAACCCCAGCAATGGCTATGATAGACCCAAACCACAGGCCTCTCCTTAGTTCCCACAAGTGGATGGTCCATGAGTCTGAGGATGAGACCACAGGAAATCTTGAAAACTCAATACAACCCACATGGTGTAAAGAAGCTGGTCCAGTACTCAGGGCTACAATGTGCAGAAGGTAGGGCAGGCGATGGTGTAGCAGAAAGCAGGGAATCAGTGGTGATCAATCCCCAAGTGGGTGTGGCCCTGGGATAGGCTCTGGCCAATAAAATGTTCAGATTGGCATCCCCTCCCCCACCACCTAATCAGGCAGCTTCCATGGAGCAGGGTTCTGCCTCTCCTGGCCCATGGAGGGTTGTCAGAAACATCAAGGAGTCACTGGTTTTGATGACTGTTGTCTTGGTCATTTAACCATCAACCTTTGTCAGCACAACTTCATTATAACAAAGGGGGGCCTTGTGAATGGGGTGTAAACCAGACCCTGTCTGCCCTCAGACCATATCACCTCCCCTGATGACTGTGCTCCAGATTCCTATTATCTTCATACCTCCAACATGCTCTCACCCCAGGACCTTTACACAGTCACCTGTCTGAAACACTCTTCCCGTGAGCCTTCTGACTGCTCCCTTCCCTCCCTCCACTCAGTTTTTACCTCATCAGAAAGGCCTTCCTTGACTGTCAGACTAGACACAGGTTTGTGTATTTACTACCTGTGGCCCCCCAAGAATCACTGTTCTCTCTCAATTCTTGTGCCACCTCCTGCACTGGGACCTCAGCAGACAGTCATCTGTGGGAGGCACAGGGGTGCCTTCCTAGCTAGGTGGGCAGTCGAAGTCTCATGGGCACCCTTCACCGGGCTCTAGGGATGAGCTTGGCTGCTGTGCCCACTGCCTCTGGGCTCAGAGAGGGAGGCTGATAGCTGTGAAGCCACAGTCTCAGGTCAAGATTCTGCCTGCAGGGTCAGCTTGGGTGGTGGATAAACTCAGGACAAGGCCAGCCAACACTGGGCTTGCCCTTTGCCAAGGAGGTGGGACCAAGAGAAGATGGAACCAAGGGAAGGTGGGACCAGCAGACATGACCACAGAGAGGCTGCCTTGAGGCTGCCTCATGGCCTCATCACAGGGGACAACCACAATGTCTGCAGAGCAGCTGCTGCCAACCACCAAGGGCTCCTCTGGGAGTGTTCCCTGTTGGCCTACATGGTTGCCCACCAGCCCATGTGGCTAACTACTCATACATGGCTGCCCAGCCTAAGGCCCGCCCTTCAAGAAGACTCTGCTTCACTAAGGGAGGGATCCAAGACAGCAACAACTATATGTGAGGCCCTGAGGGCCACCAAGCTCTGGAGTCAGAGGCAGCCAGAGTGGGCTCTGTCAGGTGACAGAAGAGCCTGTCCCCCAACCCACATTGGCATCAGTCAGGGGCTGAGCCTCACTGAGGTCCAATGAGAAGGCCTGGCCAGTGCTCTGAGCTGTGTTTGGGGTGTGGGACAGAGGTGAGCCTATAGGCATAGTAGATCACGCAACTTGGGGTCTGACCAGCCACAGCATGGCTCAGAGACCACTCTGATGTACATGCTGGGGCCACCCAGTACCTTTCCTTGGGAACCCCATCCCCAGCATATCCTGCTTGGGAAATAGCAGACCCAGAGCCACTGGATCCCAGAAACAGGCCCTGGGGGTACAGCTAGGCAGGGCAACAAGCAGGAATGGTTTCCAGGGAAGGATGCTCCTGCCTCTGCCTCTAACCTCACAGACCCTGCCATCAGCATCCACCTCCTTCAGGTACTGGGTCTCTCTCCCTCCAGCCCCTTGGCAGGTTGCAGGGAGCAGGATGAAACCCAGCCTCTGCATTCGCAACACCACGTGCAATCTCACTTTTTTTGATGGACAAGGAAGGGGGTAAAATTGGCCTGAAGCCAAAATACTTTTCTAGTCAATTTGTACAATAAGCGAATCCAAAGCATTTCCTTCTCTTTAGCCTGTTTCTCTGGGCCAAAAGGGCGCAAGGTGACAGCAGTGGCTGCCTCCAGACACAGTTGGTGAGGCGTCGCCAATGCGATTACGGGGTGTTGTGGCCCCAGGTGTGCACTCACCCGGGTGTGTTTACTGTACCTGGTCTACCCTTTGTCCAAGAGCAAAACACAGGCACTTGTGCATGCACCACCCCACCCCCGGAAAATCAGGGGCCGCTCAGCCAAGCGAGAGGTGGGCGCCGCTCCAGGGTCCTTCCCAGGGGATAGCAGAGGCGGCAGGGCCTCCCAGTGCCTGCCCTGCTCCGGCTGCCGGGGACAGCGACCGAGGCTCTGCGTGTATCGAAGAGTAAAATTAATTCCCGGGTTGGGACGTGACCCATTTGGGAAGCACTCATTTGAATCAGTTCCCTGGGAGCATTAGGTCCCTGATTTCATCCCCCAGACAGGGCTGTGCCCATGCCTGGGGGGAGGGGCCCAAGTCAAGGCCTAGATTAGCCCTCCAGTCGGGTGTCCAGCCTGCAGTGCCCACTACACACTGGCTGCATGGCTTCATTCCCCCAGCACTGAGGGAAGCTCTCGCCTAGATTCCTACCCTCACCTGGGCGGAGGAGAGGCCTGCTGCCCCCGTCGCTGGGCTGGCTGGAAGTCTTAGAGAGCTTGTTGGCAGACACCTTGTAAAGGACCCCTCCAATGCAGCGGTAGCCTTTGTTCCGCCACCGAGGAGAGCCTGGCTGAGCTTTCCCACTGCCATTGGCAGCTGGTCGCTGGCGGTTCAGCACTAGGGACCTGTGGAGACAGGAAATGCCCATCAGACATGGCCCAAGGATGGACTGCAGCTCTGGTCAGTGCCAGAGGCCAAGCCCAGGCCTGGGCTCCCAACAGGGTCAGAGCAGGACTTGCTTCCTGGGACACACTGCAGCTAGAGTGACCATGGGCCATCAGCCCAGCCACCAAGAGACTGCTGTCTCCTGCCCATTCCCAATCCGCCACCATAGCTGCAGTTCTGTGGCAGTCACCAGGGAAAGCTGACAAGAAGTCTCAGGAGGTGACGCTCCCCTGCCCCCAGTTCCACCAACCAGACAGAACTCATGAACCCCTAAAGAGCCATAGCAACAGTCTTCTCCCTTGGACATAATCTCTCCTAGGCCCTGACCACCTGGCTATGCACTGCTGGGTAAGGTTCTCTGAGGCTGAGTGGAAAGGGGGGCTGCCAAGGAGTCTACATTTTGATGAGAAGTACAGGTGCATGGCCCTAGACCTTCGCATCTACATTAAGGCACCCCTTGAGTCTATGCCAAGGCTAGCAGCCATCTTCGATGGACACTGTCCTGGAACATGCCACACTGGGCTTCGGGACAGCAGATGCCATGGGGTCATCAAGCTATAGCACAGGACTCTATAGGGTGTGGGTCTACCCCATTCAGGGCACATTTCAGCAGTGATTTACTTATGCAAATTGAGCTTAATGCCACATTAGCTCAGACTCTGCTGACGCTCTGACCATTGAGCATAGACACTGTACTCTCAGTGTATAGTGGGTGGGTGAACGTCAGTCAGTGGGTACATGGGCACAAGGGAAGCAGTCAAGTGGAAGGTGAGGATAAGTGATCTGGGCCTGGCGTAGGGCTGTACCTCCCTCCTCTATCCTCCAGCATGTCCACACTACTCCCCACAGCCCTGTAGCCCATTCAGGCCCAGGATATACACCCCTCCCCTGGGGAATACATGGGTCCCCAACCCCACCTCCCACTGCAGAAGACCCTCTCCCAGCTGGCCAGGGCCAGGAAAAGGTGTTCCCTAGACCCAAATTTGCCAAATACACAGAGGTAGGGCTCACTTGCTTGGCTGGATGGGACAGGATGCAGGTGGCCTGGCAGCATATCCATCACAGCCACCCAGCCACCCACAAGGAGTCACCAGAAAAACAGATGCTGGGGGATAGTGGGTGTCAAGCAGTCCTGCTCTCGGGATCAGTCACCATGCCCACCACTCAGCACCACAGCCCCTGTGGGCCTTGATCTCTCTATCTGCAAGTTGGGGTAATTCTTGCCAGACAGTGGCCTCTAAGGGCCCATTAGAGAGATAATGGGAGCAGAGTGAGCCTGGCGCTGGGGACTGGAGCTGCGGTGTAAGTACAAACACAACGGCCAGAGCACTTAACCCAGTTTCCCTTAATTAAAATTCAAGTTCACAAACACCAATCTTGGAGGGAAAGAGTTCTGCCAAGGGGACTTACTACACTGAATAGTCTATCCATTCAGAGTTATCTGCCTCCCACCCATCCCATTTGTGTCCCACAGACTCTAACTGCTACCACCACAGGCTATCATCTGGGCAGGAGGGGTCAAGGATTGAGCATCCTGCTGGCCCCTGTGCCCCTCTGGCAGCAGGCAGCCAGACTCAAACCACCAGGCTCTCTTCAGATCTTGGGACCTCGGTGTAGCCTCCCTGATTTCTGGGTGTCTGTGGGCCCAGCAGGCACCTGCCCTATACCTTCAGTTTGTCCAGGGGCCAAGTCAGGCAAAAGGCCAGGCCAGCAGGGGACTTTTGTATCATTTCCTCACTTGAAGAACCCTGTCAGCCCTGGGGGCTCAGAGGCAGGTTCTGACCCTTCACAGGAGCTATAGCCACTGCCCAAGGAACACTCAGCTTGACCCCAAATCCCCACAGTCAGGAACTGAGCCCAGGGCATTGGCTGCTACAGCTGACTTACCCTGTGACTGCCCCCAAAGACCCCTCACTACCTGGAGCCCTCAGGAATCTCAGAGTCCACTAGGTAGCTGCCCCATCATATCAGCCCAGGGCTGGGGCAGCATTGGGAAGAGAGGGACTGGTGGCCAGGGGACACCCTCACATTGTAACACTGGTCACTCACTGAGCCTCTGGTCATCATACAACTGGAGCCAGAAGCCAGCTGTGGGCCTAGCCATGGAGTAGTCACTCATGACCAGGCTGGTCTTTGCCTCTGGGGTTCCCAGCTGGGCCCACACAGGTCCTGCCTCCCCACAGGCTTTGTCAAGTAGGATAATGGGACTGTACTCAGCATCAAGAAGGACCCCATTCTCACATACCCTGCCCTCTGTCCACAGCACAGAGCGTTTTAAACTCTGGCCACCACAAAGGAGGAGGGACAAGCAGGCAACCAGACCTGGACCCAGCTCCCTTTCTGAGCCTGGGTTCCTGACACCTTGGGGAGGCAGGAGGGAGGAATGTCCTGGGAAGCTAGCCCTGTGAAAACTCATTTGTGGAAACGTGCTCCTGACTGGGGCTCAAACGAGGACCCACTCAGCAGAACCTCTGTCCAAAGGTGCCCTGGGGAGCTGACATGTGAGGCATCATGGGGGCCAAGCTAAGGGCTGCAAGCACCTGTTCCCTATCTACTCCTACTCTCTCCAAGGGCAGCCACATAGGCAAAGCCACAGGATTAAAGCAATATGATGCAGCTGCAGAGAGAACTGGCCAAACCCAGGGAAGGGTCTGGCAGGGGTAGAGGCTGGCAGGGCCTCTGGGAGTCAGGAAGAGTTGGAAGCTTCCTGAATAGTATTAGCTCCAGGGACAAGGGCCCCATCCCTGTCCCATGAGGTCTTGTAGCCCCTCAGCTCTGTGCACAGAGAAGCTTTGGTGTGGTGCTATTGACAGACCCACTAAGGAGTCAGGAGCCAATGATGGACTCAGGGTTAGGTGCTGTGGCCAGCCACACTCATCCTTGCCTGAACCCCCATGTGAAGCAGCCCATCTCGCTAGTGATTACTTTTCATGATCTGTTTTCCTACCTGGAAGGTACACCTTAGGGGACACTTCATCCTAACACTCTTGGTAATGCCCACATTTATTCTTGATAAATGTGAATAATCCCCTTCTCTTCCCTCACTGGAGTTTGGCAGCAACTGCAGAAGGTTTGTAGATCCATTTGGGCAGAATAGAGGCATGGCAGCCCCTCCACTACACCATCCAAGCTCTGTGCTTGCTTTCATGCATGCCAATGTTCCCAGGGCCCCCAGGGAATGAGGACAGGCACTGCCCACCGCCTGGCACACCCAGGAGCCTGGTAGCCTGGTTCAGAGAGCTGCATCCCGAAATAACGATGTGGGGAAACTTGGGAGGCCTGGCCTGAACCTTGGGCTTGGGCAGGTCAGGAGAGGCCGTCTGGAGTCATCCTCCTACTCCTTCCTCGCTCTTGTGGCCCACTGGCTTAGGAACCTGCAGCAGGAGAATGCTGAGGGCATGGGGTGGGGGCCTTGTAGCTTTTCACGGCTGTGGGTGTCACAGCACTCCAGTAAATTGTGACCCTAATGGAGAGGACAGCCTTTGGAAACGAACTGTATTGAGAAGAGGGGATAAAATTAATGAGATAATAGCAGGGCCAAGGACCCAGAGAGCACGCCTGCCCTCACGGCAAGGCTCTGTAATTCCTTTTCTGCAACGGGAGCTGCAGATCTAAAGGCCTCTCCCATCCGTCCGGCAGGCCCACGCCGCCAGGAAATTTCATTAACGCTGGAAAATAGGAAAGGTATTAAGCGTGGATAATGAAGGCCAGGGAGGGAACAGTGCCTTAAGATAGTCTTCTTTCTCGCCTTTGTAATGGGAGGCATGAACTTTCCCTTCAAATCCATTTCTAATCCATTTGAAATACTACAGCAAATTATCTTTCCTTCAGCCCGAAAGCGGCCAGCCAATTTACTCCGAATAGAAGTGACAATGCCCCAGGATTTATCACCATAACCTTGACTACACCAGGGTGAGGCTGGGCCTCCCCTCTCCCCCCTGGGGGGGGGCACAAAGGACAGGAAGGGGGGAGATAACATTTTAAATGAAAAGCGGTGGTAATAGGGAGAAAGACACACACACCACAAAAGTAGGTTTATAAAAAAAAAGCTGTCTGTGCATCCACTACCTTGGAAGTAGCCAGAAACTTCCAGGCCAGAAGTTGTCCAGGCTGGTTGAGGGGAAGGACGAGGCACTTGGGTGGTGGAGTTGAGCTCTTCCCACCTGGAGACCATCTATCTGCCTTGGGCCAGGGCCCCTCTGCAGCCCTTTTGTCTGGCTGTGCCCAAGCAAGGCAGGATTCAGTGAGTGCAGGGACTGGGGCCAGCTGCTAGTATAGTCTGGCCCTGCTGGGCACAGAGGGGCAGACAGTGGGAGCCGGGTGGGGAATCCAATCACCAGGGACTCCTCACTTTTACCCAGGAGCTGAAAAAGTTCCAAGTGAAAAGGAACGCTTGGGTGGAAGGGGGCTGTTGGGGATCTGGGCAAGATGGAAGGGAGGATCTTCCCTCCCCAAGGTCTTTCTGGTTTTCCTCAGAGCCCAGGGGCAAGGGTATTATATCTCCTGTCTGCATCTACAAGGCACACACCCACAAGCAGTGAGCCAGTCTGCCGAAAGTCCGTACAAGGCCTCAGCCTGGGCTGTCCCTGCCAACTGGCCCATACAAGGGGGTTTAAGAGGCGACCTTTGACACCCATGCTCAGCCTACTCCTTGAGGGCACTGCCTGCAGCAGGTCAGAGCAAGCCCCTATCCATCAGTCTGTGTCTCAGCTGTACAGGCAGAAATGGGGCCTCATCCAAAGCCACTGCACTACCTCCTGGGCACTGATGCACACACACGTGTAAGGCCAGATTTGTGGCCTCTCAGCTGGGGCACGAGTGTGCATACACAGACAAGCAAACAGGCTCCTGCACACGCACACAGCCTGCCCCCAAGGGTGATGGCCTCAGCACTTGTAATACCAGCAGCAGAACTCCCAACTCAGCAGAAATTTCTGATAAACCAACACAGCTCCTCCTG